AACAAGCTAACATGCCTAATAAATGAACGGCAGGCCTGATCACATCCAGCCTCATTAATACTGCTTAATGTAATTCATTTATTTACCCATTTCACGTTGACTTGATGTACTGTGCCTGTGCAGCCTGCAGAAGCTAATCACACTGAAGAACACATTTATTTAACCCTGTGTTCAATGTACACTGACTAGCCACTTTATTAGGTACACCTGTTCACCTGTATGCAGTTCAATGTACGTTCCTAATATTGTGACCCTCTCATTTATGTAGCAGGGGAGGACAGAGATAAACAGACACCTCTGAATATAATGTAGTCCAGTATAACACCACCTCTAACTATGACCTCAGTAATAAACATATAACTGAATTTATACATTTATGACAAGTTCACCAAAAACTGAAAAATTCTGCTCTTCATAAACAGATGTTAAGGCAGAGGTGTTGCACTGAGGTGCACACAGCTGTACAGGGGTACCTAATAAAGTGGCCAGTTGAGTGTATGTGATAGTATTAATCTGGAAAAGAAAAGACAAGGCCTGTTACAAAGTGGTCGTCCCATCTGAGAAGCTGGAAGCAGCAAACCTTTGGTGTTTTACTCAAAAGCAACAAATACATCTAAACAATTATGAAGTAGAGCAGGTGCCAGTTGTTTCCTGGAGAGGGACTAATCTCGGGGTTTTCACTCTGAGGCAGCGGGAGAGACAGGTGAGGTGAGAAGGACAGGTGCATGCAGGCGTTCTTCCACCAACAGGAAGTTAGTTATTGAAGTGTGTCTGCTCACCAGCACAGCATGTCAAGACTGATTGATCTTCCTTTTTCTAGGAGTCAACACATGCTGTTTGAATTCACGGGAAGTATGGCGTTCCTTAGCTGCAGAACCTGCTTGAGAATCCTGAGTTTCCTTCAGTGCCACCATGATCCAGTGACAGCTGTCTGTACATCCATGGGTCCACTGCACATGGGAGCTGCTCACTGCTCACCGTGCTGCTGTTAACGGAGACATTTTGATGATTGGACCCTGTGACTACATGTAAGAATATAGACAATAGAGTCCACAGTGAGACCCAGTCAATCAGCTGTGACTGACTTTTCAAACCTCTGCACCCAGTGTTGCAGCTCTACATAGATGAAACAGAAAAGGATATTTTTGGCTTGTGCCGTTTCCTTGCAGTCCTTCTACTGTTCTGTGATGTGGTAGTTTGTGTGTGGCCTGTAGAGAAGGTGTCTTTGTGATGTGATTTGCTCAGAGAAGATGTACAGCACACGGTGACAGCGGCAGCCGGCTGAATATTAACACCATCTGTACACGTCTATAAATGTTCTGAGGCAGGAATGTCTGAGAGCGTTCCACGGGCGCTGTGTGACTATGTTCACATGCTCAGGTCAAATCTGCTTCAGTCTGGTGAAGCACAACAGTGTGAAACAATAATAGAAGAGTTAACTGAAGGCCGCTGTCTGGGGCTTTCCTCATTTTTCATGATTAACTCCCCCAGTACCTGAAGAGGGAGTTCATTGAAATGTGCGTCCCTCTTTGGGTTTGCAGACACAAGCTTGTTGCTGTGGTGTAGCAGAGCAACTTCCTCTCTAGAGCTGCTTTCACGGCTTTTAGATTAATAAGTGACGACAGTGTTGAGAAGTCCAGGCCTTACTTTTCCAGTAGTTCTCTCAGGGAGAGACAAAGATGGGATTTCATCTGCCTTGCTTTTATTCACCCTATGCTGCTGAATAATTGATATGATAGGTTTTAGTAGCGGAAGACGAGCAGGAGCATCAGATGGGGATTCCTTCTTAATGGAGGTTTGAAGGCTCACTCATGTCAGCGTCTCTCTCCTGTGTTGTGTATTGTTTCATTTTTTGTGGCGTCTGAGTTTATATTGCCACTCTGCTGCAGTTTAAAAGCATGAATCTGCATGACAACGTGGTTCATCCCATGTGTGTAAAGGCCCCTTCATGCTTTCTGCACCGGTGAGGGTCTGTGCTGACTGTGTGTGGACGTCTGTGAGTCCGTCCGCACCGTGACACAGCCAGGCAGCTCATTCACATCACAGCAGTAAAACAAGGATGTTGTGCGGCAGTGTTTACCCCTGTGAAGCTCCTGGGAGCACAGTGCCAAGCATTAGTACCTTAACTACAGTGCTAATGTTGCTAGCTGTGGATCAGAATCAGATTTACTGGCCAAGTGCGTTGGACACACGAGGAGTTTGACTCCGGTCCAGTGACTCAGTGTGTCTGTACAATGTTCCTCTGTAAGGCAGCAAGTAGACGAGTAAAGAAGATGAGGCTGAGAGAGCAAGAAAAGAATAATAATTTGTAAACAAGAAAAAAATGTGCATTAGGAAAATAAAAAATACTAATAAATATATATACTGTATACACACACACACACAAAGTTTAGGTGGATATATACAAAGGTCGCTGTGTTTCAGACACTCGCACAGCGCTTTTAGTTTTGATAGCTGTGTGTGTAGCAGGCAACCAACTGGGGGTCGCCCATGAAAATGGTTGTTTCCGACACAGTTCATGCAGTATTTTTGACAAACCCTTTAAATTACAGCTGATAGTTTAAAGCACATCATGATTGTTCCATTTCAAATCCACTGTGGTGGTGAATGACTATACTAATGGCACAAACACTTGGGGCCTGTCTGTAGCTTTACAGTCAGAGCCTCATCTGTCTTGTTAAGAGGATTTGGAGGCAGGAAGTGATTTCTGATGTACAGTACTCCTGCCTTTTCATGAAGTCTTCCACTCCACTCAGACAGTACAGCAAGACGTATGTGTTGACTGATAATTGCCAAATAACTGGAGTCAAATATGCCAAAGAAAGGTTTGAGATGCCTGAGAACACTACAAGCTCATTTTTACAAGGATCTTATCAAAATGTATTGAAGTTGATATAAACATCAGCAGGTACATTGTTGCCAGACGTTTTTCAAACTCTCAGATATTAGATATAGTTTTCACAGATACAGTTTCAAGGCCTGGCTGTGCTGCTCGTGGATTTTCTGACTGAATAAAAGTGCTTGCATTACCTCCGTCTCTGAGGAAACGACCTGCATCACATGCCCATACTTTACTCAGCGTCTGCTGTTCCTCTACTCTGCAGGCCTTCTGATCTACAACCTGCACCAAAACCAGACGGAAAACATCACGTTCATTTGACAGGATTCAGACGCGTATCAGAAGGCCCAGTCTAGTTATTCACTGACTGTTCCTCTCACTGTCACTCACTCAACAACAAATGGCCTTGGCTCTCTGACCCGTCTGTGGCGAGCTGCTGAAGCCTGACACACTTCACACGAGCCCACAAGTAACTGTTCACTGCTGCTCAGCATAAACATGCGATTCTTCGTGTGAGTGTTGCCCTTTTCCCTGGACTCTTCCTCCTCACCTCTCCGACCTCGGCCTTCTTCACACTCACAGACACGTATTAATCTTGTGTTGCAGGCGGTGGGCCCAGAGTGCAGCTGTTTATCTGGGATGGGTCAGTGTTTAAAAGGAGTTTCTGTCCCATCTCAGCCTCTCCTCGGTGTCTGGGTGGAGATGGAGGTGGGCTCTTCTCCGGTTCAGCTCGCCTTAGATCATCGGCTCATAGAACGAGACGTGTTAACGTCTGTGTGTATGCCTGTGTGTGTGAGGACATGGGCCTGCTGGTCAGCACATTCCCTGAGTACCCGCCCCGGGGTGTTATTGGGGCCCACTGCCTTACACGTGTTGACTTTTTTCAGTGTCCTCTGGAAATCAGCTGTGTCAAAACGAAGTGCCTTCTCATCAGGATGCCGTTGAGTGCCTCAAACCTTCCAAAAGATTTATTTAGTTCATCGAGAAAACCAGTATTGTCCTCATACTGTGGTGAAGCAGCGTTATAATCTGGATTGGCCTGAATTCCTTGCCACATGTGCCTGTTTCAGCAGGCTGAGAAGCACATACTGTTGATTCTAGGAGGCTGGCTCTGAGCCTCTGTCCCAGCCCTCTTCTCTGTCACATCCTCTGCTGTCTGCATATGCTGAAACAGCTGAAGACATGTCCAGCAGCAGGATGAGCAGCGGACCCATAGATACACACACACACACACACAGCTGCCACTGCATCACTGTGGCACTGAGGGAAACTCAACAACAGGAAGATTCTCAGGCTCAGTGGGTTTAGAGGTTTGTTCTGGATGGACATCAGAGACCATGAGATCATTAGGAAGTGGACGTCACACTGAGGCAGATCAACATGTTTCATGTCTGTATGGTCACATTTGACTGTGGTGTTTGACACACATGGGAAGAATCTGTGCAGTTTTCCTGCTCTAAATAATTTGAGTGCTGTGTGCAGAGCTTCCTGGTAACCTGTGAAAATACCTGCAGTGATGAGTGTGATCCACCTCTCACGCTCTCTTTACTTTGCTTCCTCTCTGTCCCTCAGCATCATTACTGTGTGGGCTGTCGTACTGTAGAATAATGGCCTTTTCTTCGGTGACTGAGTCGCCTCATAGATCTGCATAATGATCAGCAGCTCTCCCTGGTAATTTATGTCTGCGGAGGATCTTTGCTGATGTTCAGTGATAGCATGTTGATTTGAATAATAGCATGAAAAATGAAAAGAGTGGTGTGAAGGGGAGATCAATGATGTCCTTTCTTTCTTTCTTTCTTGTTGTGTGACTTTGTATTCCTCTGTGTGTCTGCATGTGACGGCTGGACTCCAGTTTGAGCTGGTTTTGTGATGTTATTATAATGATGCAGTCAGTAGGCTTCAGTTGCACACCTGCTGTGATGCTTGTTTCCACACCAAAACATCTCTCGGGTTACATCCTGATACTGTGTGAAACATCCTTATGTCACCCAGGTCGTTCCATCTGACAGTGTGTCCATCTCAGCCAGTGTCTGCTTTGTCCTCTAACCAACCTCCACCCTTTGTGTTCCACACAGACGCCTAACTGAATGGTTGAAGAGGCTTTCATTGTGTGGCTCCACTAAGCGGGATGCACTGTAATAAACAGGTGTCATGCTAACCTGGTTTAATATTGCACAAACCACCTGACAAGGTAACTGATGCAGGCACATTTGACATCAAGGGGCCCTGCATCATCTGCTGGGACCTAACAGTTCAAATTCTGTCTGCTGTCTTCATAAAGACACTGGAGGCTGTGATCATTTTTCCAGCTGATCATTTTCATTGCAGTTTGCACAGTATTTGTCAACCTTGTTGTCAGATTGCCAAAGCATGCTGCTGTTCCATACCTGCTGAGACTATCCAGGATAGCCTGAGCAAACAGAACAGACTGTGGGGTGACACTTTACATCTCAGTGTAAGGGCTGTTGGTCCAAAGCCATTGTTTTCCACTGGATGAGGTGTTCTAGTCACAGGGAGGATAGCAGACTTCTTCCAGACCAAAGGAACAGATTGAGTATCAGAGGGCTGCTGGAACACTAGGCTCCTCTGCTCAAGTCTGTAGAAGGCCGGAAGAGACTCCATCGGGGCACAGAGATGTGTTTGAGTAAACTTTAAACAGAGGCTGAACATGAAGTGGCTCAGTCAGTAGTTTATCATCCCAGCCTGGGAGTGGATGGGCAGAAGGCCAGCTCCCTGTCACACTCCCTGTAGTCACAAATCTAAAACCTGGTGTTAAACCTTTCCAGTCATTAGCCCTTTGCAGGTCATCTCTGCAGCTGTCACATTGCTTACAGCTCGAATGGAATCCCACATACTTTGGGGATTTGACTTAAAATGTCGTCCTGTTGTTTCCAGGCTGACGTGAGTAACTGGTTCAGTTCTCTCTGCACAGTCTTCAGTCTTTTGGACCAACATCTCTCTCAGAGGTTTGGATGTTTCACCAAAGATGAGCTCTGACATGAAACTGGAGCAGTTGTAATGCAGTGTGTGACGAGATAGAGGCTGACAACCCTGTGTGTGTTGGTGTGTGTGTGTGATCACTGACGGATAGATGAAGTCTGTATGTGAAGCCAGTGTGAAGTGATTTCACATCCTGTAGAAGCGTTTGTGTGTGTGTGGTTTTGTCTTCAGATCTTTTCTCTGTGTTTC